CTGATTTCCTTTGGGTCTTTTTCCAGCTCTCCCCGGGAAGGTAGGTGAGGGTACCCCACAGGAAGGGATTCCCAAGTGTCTCTTCCTGCGTTCTAAAAAGAAGCGGGGGGCAGCTACTAACTACACCAGGGGTTCTCAAACTTCATTGCACCACAACCCCCTTCTAACAACAAAAATCACTACACAACCCCAGGAAGGGGGATGGAAGCCTGAGCCTGCCTGAGCCCTGCAACCCTAGGTGGGGGAGGGCCAAGGCTAGAACCCCACTACCCCAGGTGGGGGGCCCAAAGCCAAAGACCAATGCCTTCAGCTGTAGGCAGGGGACCTGTAACCTGAGCACCGTTGCCCAGGACTGAAGTTGTCAGGCTTCAGCCCTAGGAGGTGGGGCTTGGGTTTCTGCCTCGGGCCCCAGTAAATCTAAGCCAGCCCTGGTGACCCCGATAAAACGGGGTCTTGACCCACAGTTTGAGAACCACTGTACTACACCCTGCCCAAAGAAGCAGCAAGCTGAGAGGAAAAGAGCAGTGAAGGTGCGTCCTCCAAACTTTTCTAGAGAGGAGTCTCTAGATCAGCCGTTTTGGAAACCACAGAGACCTGGTCCTCCCAGGGCTAGAGAATCAGGATCACAAGAAGGGCATTTGGGACCAAAGGTAAGAGCAGGGGCAAACCTGAGTCTGGGAGTAGTGGAGGAGTTCATAGTGAGGTTCCAGGCCAGGGTCAATACCAAGGGTCAGAGTCTGAGTCAGATTTCAGGATCTGACTCAGGAGATGAAGTCCAAATCAAGCTGAGGTCAAAGCCAGGAGTCTGGAAGCAGGAATGGTTGTGGCAGCTACGGGAGATCTTCACTGTTGCCTGTTCGCTTCCTGGGATGCCCTTTGGGTTTAGGTAGGGTGGGGAGCCAACCAAGAGCAATGAGGCTGCTGCCTGTCAGACCTCTTGAGACAGGATTTCCCATAGTCTGTCTCCACACCGGGTCATGGGCAATGGAGAGTAAGCTGGTTATGGCTGCCATTGAGTGGCAGCATGGAGACATCTGCTGCCTGGCAGCTGTGTAAGCCTGGGTTCTAGACCTGCTGAGCCTTTTATTGAGAGTGTAGCAACAATTAATCAGGGCCCTGCTGGCCTAAATGAAAGAAGCTGCATGGCCTTAGCAGGTCAGTTGCAGGCTGGGGCCAGAGGGGCAAAGGAACTTGAAGGATAACCAGAGTTTGTTTGGCTGCATTTTACATAGTTGGGTATTCAGGAAGAGAGAGGACCTAAGAACCTTAACCCTGAGATAAGGGTTCATTCAGACTTTGTGAATGAGTTCATTCAGACTTTGTGACTTGCTGGAGGGTCAAGCCACTAAAGACCCACCAAAGCCAGTTGGTAGCCTACAGGTGGCATCAGAGGGAGAAAAGGACTGTGAGCATTTAAGAGGTGAGTGCCCTGTTACAAGATCATCCCAAATGAATGCAAGTAAAATATTTATACTACACTGTCATGCCATTTGTTTATTACTTATTTACAGAAACTATTTTAGAATTTGAAGGGGGAATTAATATGATTTTTCATACCTCTCCTTTTGAAAAGCCAGATTCTCCATCACTGACCATATTTAAATCAGGATTGGATGCTTTTCTAAAAGTTGAGCTTCAGGAATTTTGGGGAGAAAGTTTGATGGCCTGTGTTATGCTAGATAATAACAATAGTCCCTTCTGGCCTTGGAATCTCTGTACAGAATTGCTATCCAGAATTCATATGCAAGACCTCCCCTTTGTCTTCAAATTCTGATCTGTTATACCTGGGTAATTCCACTGAAGACAATTGGGTTGCACAGGTGTAATTAAGGCATAATCTGAGGCTAGACATGGGACTGCCAAAAATCAGCATTTCAAACCTGATTAGACAGAAAAGCAACCTCATAGGAAAGGCTGTTCTCATAAGATTTCCAGCCCAGGTGCTGATTTAATGTGAATATCCAAGCCTTATGAGGTTCATCCATCACTAATAATGCATATTCAGTGTGTTCATAGAAATACTACACTAAGTCATGAGTAAGTAATGTGTTTGCTTTATTGATGTGTTAGCAGCTTTGCTTGAAACAAGTACTTCCTTCCAACACTGATTCACATGCAAAAAGTGTTTGTTGAAGGAAAACTCAGCATAATATGAAAAATATTTGATAACTACTTAAATAACTAATTTTACAAGTCTTACAATGTAATGTAAAAGAATAATTATCAAACAGGAAATTGCCATCTTGATAGTTTGATGCAGATTAGGCCTGAAGGAAAAAGTGCACTGTTTGAAAGTTTATTGTAAAGTGAGTTTTATGTTTTTAATCTTTGGATGGTTTATTAGCAGTGTTTTATCTTAACTGTTAAATTAACTGAAGAAATATTTTTAAAATGAGTAGACTTTAACTTATAAAAGCTTTAAAGCATGCTGGGCCAGATCCTTAGCTGGTGTAGATCACCATAGTTCTATTAAAGTCAATCACAAGGAAATACATTAAAGGGAATGAGGTTATATTAATGTAGAACTGGAATAAGAGAGATCTAAATCTGGCCCACTACAAGCAGTCTTCGCAGATCTTTCCTACTTCAATTCAAAGCTGAAAGAATTTGCTAAGGACTATAGAACAGACTTAAGAAACCTACAGCATCAAAGCCTTTGGTGTTTTCATTAAAGGTGGAGCAAATAACAATACCAATAGTTAAGGTTGCCCTCAAGTGATTGCATATGTCTATTCCAGTGTAGATGTGTGCACGTCTTGTGCACAGTTGTCGGATCGCTTTTTCCAAGTAGTACCCACTGGAGCAGCTTGAGCACCCTCTGTTGCCACACACCTCTGCATGCTAGTATAAGGACAGAGCCGCCTTGATACCCCTCAGTTCCTTCTTACAGCCAGTGATGGTTGTTGGAGCACTTCCAGTCCTCTATCGCAAGTTTATTTTCCTCACACTTGTATATAGTCTTTTTGTCGTTTAGTAGTTAGTTAGATATAGAGTATAGTCAGTGTTAGTGATAGGTTTCAGTTTTTAAGTGCTTTTTGGACCAAATTTGATTCTTGGTTCCAAGACTAGGAGCGGAGCCATGCCTCACTCTCAGGGTTTCAAGTCCTGCTGGTTGTGTGTCAGACCTATGCCGATCAGTGACCCACACTCTAGCTGCCTAAAATGTTTGGGGGAGTCCCGCATCAGTGACAAGAACATAGAGCAGTTAGACTTAAGTGTCCCCTTATGGAGGTGGCACTTTGCCCTCTATCAGAGCAATTTGGTTCAGAGCATACTCTGAGTGCGGCACCATCAATACTGAGTGCACCTCCTGAGATGTCTTCAGCACCTCATTTGGTGTCCCCAGTACTAAAGAATAGATACAAATCTTCTAAGCACCTGGTACCTTTGGTACAAAGGACGTCTAGAGGCAAGGTTTCTGGGAGGGACTCTGAGGGGAAGTTTTCCCCCAGAGAATTGCTCTGCTACAAAGTGGGGGTTCATTGACTCTGGAACCTGTGTAGGGTCTGTTGAGGTCAACCCCTGAAGTTGCTGTATGCCAGACTCATGACCCAATTCCAGTACAGAAAATTGCGGAAGTATATGTTGCTGCCAGAGAATTGTTTAACCTTTTGGTACCAGCATTCTTGGTGGTGCAGGAAGGCTTTCAGTTGGTACCAGCTACTGTAATTTCTACACCAGCTCCACAACAGCATACAGTACCAATGCCACTTTCAGTACCTGAAAGCCTGGAACATTCCACAGGCAAGCCACTGTTAATATCCCCTGGGTTTGGCTCACCTATCTCCTGTCCACATGGGTTCTGCTCCACTGTTATCAGAGTGATCTTTGTCAGTTTCTGAAGTGGGGTCTTTTGTGTCCCATACAGAAGGGAAGCTTACCCTCCATCAGAGTCTTGAGGTCCCTGGCTGTCACAGCAGCCTTGGGGTCCCTGGATGTCACAGCAGTTCTATGTACTGTGTTATACAGGAGGTCAGACTAATGATCACACTGGTTCTTTCTAGCCTTGGAATCTGTAAACTATGTATGCCAAGTTTAATTCACTTTTGGGAGTTGAGGGTGCTCTTCAGGCATGTAGATGAGTGGCCTCTTGACTCCTGGCGGTGGCCACCAGGTAGGCCTGCACGCAGCCCCTCACCTCAATTTGCCTTCTTGGATCCCCAAATAAATGCCACAGTGGTTTTTCCAGTCCGGTCACAATAACCCTACTTAGAGTCTGATTTATTAACTTTAAGTTCAAAACTAAACTCAAAGGTCTTCCCTCCTTCCTTCAGCTGGGTACAGCTCTAACTCCCCTGTTCTGGTCAGAATCCTCCTCACTTAGCAGGCTATTCCAAACCCTTCCTAGCTGGAGCAATTTCCCTGGTCTCAGGGTCTTCCCTACATTCTCTGAAGTCTCAGTACAACCTCTTGAGTTTCCCACTTGCTGCAATCACCTTTTGCTCTTTATAAGAAATTGCCTGACTCAGATGGAGCTCATTCTGTGATCAGGGTTTGCTTTGCCCCAGCCTCTCCAGTCCAACAGCAAGCCACCCTGTTACAAGGCATTTTACTAACATATTACTAAATAATTCTATCTAACTGCTTCCACTGTGTTGATCTTATTGTATGTGATGTTTTTTCTGACTTGAGGAAGAAAGGATATCGTGTATGGGGCAGGGGGAAGAGAAACAGATGAGGCACTGTATGCATATAGTTAAATTTTATAATTACATCCCTGTCCTCAATCAAATGACAGGAGGGGGTAGAGGAGAAAGATTCACTTATGGGATTTGTTTTTTAGTGGGAACTGTAGTTTCTCCATTGGCAGTTCGGCCAGCGCACTAGTAAGTGTCCATGAGTTCAAGGTCCTTTCACATTTTATAGACCTGGAAATCAATGCAATCATCAGTAATTTATTATTCTTGTCATACTGTATGTTAAATAAAGTTATTTTCTTTTAAACACAGTTTAAGGGTTTGTTTCAGGATTGTTTCAGATTTGAATATCTCCTTTTTCAGGGAAGCAATGTAATGGAAGATCAGGATCTGTTGGAAATAGGAATTCTTAACTCTGGACACAGGCAAAGAATTCTACAGGCAATCCAGCTCCTTCCAAAGGTACAGTTTCTTTTATTATCTCGATACCAGTAGTATCACCAAGAGCTTTTAATTCTTAAATACCATTTTTATATAGAAATGTGGACATTGTGAGCCTAATTCTCCACTGCCTTGTGCTTTTCCTAGTCAATTACACCATGCAAAGTGGGTGTAAAATACTACCATTCTGGATTGGTAGTGACTTACGTCCACTTTGCACAGACGTAAATGACTACACAAGTGCAGAGCAGAGGACAATCAGGTCCCATATTCATGATGCTAATTATTTTAGAAATGATTATAGAAATGTTTGGTTTTTCAATATGTTAGCACATAAAGCCAACAACAAATGAAGTGGGGCTAGGGATGTATTTTAGGACGGCTTTTGCATATAAATTGTTGCATCACCTCCATAAATAAATTTCTGTATAAATCCCAGAGGAATTTTTCTTAATATAGAGGTAAGATTGGAAATACCATTAAGTAACCCTAGAGACTCAAGATATTCCATTATGGATGCAATACACATCTTTCATATGTGAATTGGAGACTATCAGCAGTTGCTATATTTTATTTGTTTGTCCTGTTGAGTATATGAATTCTGCTCTTCAGATGTGTGATCCTGTAACTTGTACCCATTTTTCCAGTGCACTTAGGGTGTAGGATGGTGTTCATTGCAGATTGAGAATGTGTCAAGCATGCTAAGAGACTACGATTGTATCTTTGGGATTTAAACTACATGCTAGATAGAACACCAAAATTTGCCAGTGGGTAGTTCACAGCTGATTGCTAATACCTGCTTCTTGCTAGCTTTGCCTTGTGCAGAAACCTGAGAAGATGGACTGGGCATATTGTGACCCTGAAGGTTGTCACATGATTTTGGAAGTCATCTAAGGGAATCATGCTAGGCCAAGTTGTATTCTGCCTGAGGCCAAGCAGGGCCCTCATGCATATTAGCTCTGTAGAAGATAGAGCAGGAACAAAGCCCATTGTAAGGTGTATGTGTTTGTGGATAGCATGTACAGAACGATCAAGGTAAAGATGGAGCTCTGTATCCAGTCTCTGACCCCTACAGGGAATGTGTGCAGAGCAAATAAAAGATTTTTCCCGTCTGTACAGTGAAGATGAATTAGGTGAAATAGGCTTTCTGGTGCATGGATGGATAAGGAAAGATGTGGTCTTGGGGCCACTTGTGAAGAATAAGATGATCTGGCCTGTACTGAGAAGATGGACTTGAAGAGTGAGCTTCTGGTGCATCCTTGTATGTAGACGGTCACAGTCTATATGTAGTTCAGCATGATTAAAGATAGTGATATGTATTCCATGGACTGTATTGGGAATATAGATGGAGGTAAGAAGGACTAGGAAATAGATTAGTTTATAGGCAGAGGGTAGGTTAAGGTGCTGAATTAAGTTTGGTGTTTAAATTTTAACTGTGAATTTCTTGAGTTTCTGGCTTTTTTTTTTTAGCTGTAACATTGTTAACATCATTTTTTTACTTTTATTGTTAGCTCTGTACCATTGAAATAGTTTGTCTGTATGTTTCCTTTTTTTATTTTTTTTTAGTGGACGGGCATGCTTTTTCTTCATCTAACTCAAAAGCTAGTAACAGGATTTTGTAATATTATATGTTAGTGAGATCTGCACTTAATAAATGGGATTCATGAAGACTACAAGTTCTGAAGGCTAGACTAGAAACAGTATACAAGACATGCCAAAATTAATTCCCACTATCCTGGTTATTTTTATTATTCAGCCCTAGACGTACATGAAGTTCCTATGCTAAATCCCATCATCTGTTCCATATTTGCAAAACAAATTTGACAAAAAATCCACAACTTGCACAAATACAGAAAATGATAAACGTCCGTTTCTAATTGTGCTTACTGTATGTGGAGCTAGAGACTCAAAGATTCTGCCACACATATTCCTATTGAGTAGTTACCTTACTTTAGAAGTAGGGACTCCTTGAGGCATGAGGTACTACTCAGTATGAGTAAGGATGGCAGAGTCAAGCTCTAAATGAACTCTCAAAACCAGCTGTTTCTGAGAACGAATGAGTCATGCAATTTCCTGGTAGAATCCACATTCTGTAAATCTGAGATAGTTAAATACCTTTGGAATCAGTGCTGTATAACAGAGGGTGTTTAGAGGTTGCTAGCTGCAGCAAAAAATAGTCCAAAAAGATCACGTTCTTAATGCATCTTTAATGCAGAAATATTATACCAAAATGAAGGAGGATGGAAGCAAAAGCTGTGCATCACAACTCTTTATTTAAATGACTTGGCAACACAAGAGAGCTTACACAGAAACAGTACATCATTTTCTATTCAAAACCCAGGTTATTTTAAGGCAGAGCTGCAAAGGAAGCTATATGACCCATAAATCAGTATTATAACAACTATTATCTAATAGAGCTCATCCTGGTTATATTCTCAATAGCACACTGCAAATTTTGAAAATCCTTTCACATCCTGCAGGGAAACATACAGCACTAGCATATTTGTTAAACTGTTCATGAGTCCAGCCCTATCATATTTTCAAGATAAGTATATACATTTTAAAGTGTGTTAAAATACCCAAACATGTAAGAACAGTAGGACAATGTAACAGACTGCCTAAGAAGGCTGTGGAAGCTCCTTCACTTGAGGTTTTCAAAAGGAGGCTGGATAGCCATCTGTCGTGGATGGTTTAGACCCAAAAAATCCTGCATCTTGGCAGGGATTTAGCCTAGATGACCCTTTTGCAGTCTCTTCTAACCCTATGGTTCTATGAGTGATGATAGATAAAAAGCTTTTAATTTAACTTGCTTTTAAAGCTTCCCTACTTCCATTCACAATTCTTTTAAAACTTCCAGGAGTTCTTGTGAGACTTTTTTGTATTTCTCCTCCTGTGATTTGTCTATAACTAGAACACCGAAGGAAGGAAGAAGTGCTTTTTTTTGAGAAACTCTTATGTCTTGACACTACTTCAAACCCACCTTCTTGCATCCGAAACTGCCGGATAAGCTTAGAGAGTAAAATAACAAGTGACAAATCTAATGTTAGACTTTCATAGAATCATAGAATATTAGGGTTGGAAGGGACCTCAGGAGGTCATCTAGTCCAACCCCCTGCTCAAAAGCAGGACCAATCCCCAATTAAATCATCCCAGCCAGGGCTTTGTCAAGCCTGACCTTAAAAACTTCTAAGGAAGGAGATTCCACCACCTCCCTAGGCAACGCATTCCAGTGTTTCACCACCCTCCTAGTGAAAAAGTTTTTCCTAATATCCAACCTAAACCTCCCCCACTGCAGCTTGAGACCATTACTCCTTGTCCTGTCATCTTCTACCACTGAGAATAGTCTAGAACCATCCTTCTGGAACCACCTCTCAGGTAGTTGAAAGCAGCTATCAAATCCCCCCTCATTCTTCTCTTCTGCAGACTAAACAATCCCAGTTCCCTCAGCCTCTCCTCATAAGTCATGTGTTCCAGACCCCTAATCATTTTTGTTGCCCTTCGCTGGACTCCTTCCAATTTATCCACATCCTTCTTGTAGTGTGGGGCCCAAAACTGGACACAGTACTCCAGATGAGGCCTCACCAATGTCGAATAGAGGGGAATGATCACGTCCCTCGATCTGCTCGCTATGCCCCTACTTATACATCCCAAAATGCCATTGGCCTTCTTGGCAACAAGGGCACACTGCTGACTCATATCCAGCTTCTCGTCCACTGTCACCCCTAGGTCCTTTTCCGCAGAACTGCTACCTAGCCATTCGGTCCCTAGTCTGTAGCTGTGCATTGGGTTCTTCCGTCCTAAGTGCAGGACCCTGCACTTATCCTTATTGAACCTCATCAGATTTCTTTTGGCCCAATCCTCCAATTTGTCTAGGTCCCTCTGTATCCTATCCCTGCCCTCCAGCGTATCTACCACTCCTCCCAGTTTAGTATCATCCGCAAATTTGCTGAGAGTGCAATCCACACCATCCTGCAGATCATTTATGAAGATATTGAACAAAACCGGCCCCAGGACCGACCCCTGGGGCACTCCACTTGACACCGGCTGCCAACTAGAATATGTTAAATATAAAAGTATTAAAGTATAAAATATATGTAAAATATGTTACTGTTTTTCCCTTAGTAATGATTTATCTGAGGAGAAATTGGTTGAGAGACCAGAGTATAGTATAGCTATAACAGATAAACATAGTTGGAATCATCCAATCAGATTACTGCTTTCATAATGCCATTTTTTTATTATAGCGTTGGGTAGGAGATACTGGACCAAATTCTGGTCACTCACTGATGTATGTGTGGAGTAACTCCACTGAAGTTAATAGAGTTACTCAAGATTTATATGAGTCTAAATAAGAGCAGCATATGGTTCATTACTATTAGTTTAGGGTGAGAAGGGATTTCTGTACAAATATAACTTGTGAAATTATTGCTTTTCAATTGAAATATATCATACCTGGTCCTAGCTTGAGAGCAAATTTCTTAACAGAGTTTGACAAAATCTGGGTCATTTGTTTCTGAGTGAAGGGAAATATATTAATTAGGATGGAATAAAGGGCCCAAAGAGTTAAAGGTGTTAACATAGCCCAGTCATTGTCGAACATTAAATAGTTCTAAACAGTTTTGGGGCTTGGTATACGGAGACCTTAGCCTGCTTAGCATGATGGCAAATGCACCATTAAACAGTCTTTTAAAGTTTGTTAAAGATACAGAAAAGAAAGAAAAACAGTTAAAGCATTTGAAGTGTATTAAATAAAGCTTTTATTTTAACAACATCCCTTGTTCCCTTTCCCTTTAGCTGAAGAGTTTTGAGAAAGAAAGGCCCCTTGTTAGACAGTTTCTTAGATGGTATTAAAGATGGTATCTGCTGTCCTTTCTTGGGAAAGGAGAAGTTAGTTGAGATGGTCTGGAGCTGTTGATGATGTTACAAATCAGTCCTGTTTCTTATAAAGACAAAACAAGACAATCACACACAAAAGGGGATAGAAAAGAATAGGAAAGATAGAAAATGCAGCTTCTGTCTCT